TTATTATTTTCCCACCTTTTATATATTTTGGTCAACTCAAGGTGGCAAATATATTTAATACTTCTGCCTCCTATTTTCCCTATCCATTCCACATAACTAGCAGATAGCTTATCAATTAGGTGAGGGGCAAAAGTGAGAGAGGCATTTGAAATTATTTGGGGCACAAAGAGTAACTTCAAATGTTCTTCCATCTGAAAAGATGGACTGTCTCAAGACTCTGAACTTCATTTTGTTTCAGAAGGTCTAGTTCTGTGATGGAATGTTGCAGGCAATTATTTCCAGTCTTCATAAGGAACTATCATATTGCAGTATTGTTATTACTTGTTGTTATCCCATCACTGATCATCAAATGCAATGCAGTATTGTTGTAAAGAGCAGACTGCTGACTTTTACAGCCAGACAGCCACATGCCAGACAGGCACAGTCATAGAATTTATGTCTATGAAAGAAGTATGACTCTTAGGCACATACACCTTGTGATCTGCCCAGAACATTACATTCTCTTTTGCATTTTCTTTTTTAACCAAGGGGTATTTACCACTACCAGCACTAAATACTATAGATATTTAACATTTTTACAGTTTATCTTTTTCTAATCAAATTTGATTTTGTTTATCTCCTTTGAGATTGGTTTATCTTTGGAGGGGAGGGTGCTGAAATCTCTAGCCACATTTGTTATGTTACGTGGCCAGGAGGTTACACTATTGAAATTATTACCTTTTATTGGTTTGTTGATTTGTTTGCTTGATTTGTTTCTTTTTCTTTTTGTTCTTACATTATAATTGCCAGAAGTGCAGCACCGGTTGTGAAAATCCTGCTTGTGTCATACACTGGAATTAGGGGAAGGAAGTCAGGTGAAGTACTCCCTGAAAATAGATGGCGTTTGATGTTTGAGGCCTCAGGCCTTCCTTCCTGTGGGCTCAGCTATTCCATTTTGCTACACATATATTATTAAAATTCTATAGTGAACCCAGAAACATTCATTTGACATGCATTGGCAAATGTCATTTCATGGCTCTAGCTGAGAAGTTGCAGCCCCATCATATCTGAAAAGTGCCAGGCTGAAAGAGACTGACTTAAGCCCAAGCTACGGACTTCCATACTCACATCATATTTTATCCAGAAGATAACTGGGACAACAGGGATCTGGGTGACTTCATTTACAGTTCTTTGTGCCAAATGAAAGGCAATGTAGTCAGTTGCTATTATGAGCAGTATCACCACTAGAACTAATGTGAGAAGAAAAAAATGTCTGAGAGAAGCCTTGAGTTCTTTTCTGGATAACTTGAAGCTGGTTGGTTTAATTAACTTTCTGGATGTGCAAATCAGTAAATCAATTGTCTTGTTTTCCCGAGCCAAATCTTCCAGCTTTGGGGTAATGTAAATATTATCAAAACAAAGATCTGTGAGGTAGCTCTTCAGGTACCATGTAGCTTGAAAAAGGAGATAGAAGAGAAATAAACCAGCCATCACCCGGTTGGTCAAGAGTATGACCTTCTGGACTAGCATATCAGCATGCAAAAAATCTTTCTTGATACTTTGGCTAGTGTTAACCATTTTCTCATTTAGTTGGAAGATATTGCTGTGATTTTTAAACTGAACATGGCTATCCCTTGAACTCAATAATTTATCTGGCATGTTGTCAATTATGCTCTTGAGAGAGTGGCTGAAGTCCCAGGAAACATTACCCAGAAGGAGCATTGAGGTCACAAGGCTGTCCATGGAATTCTTGCAGGTGCATTTAATGATTTGCAGGATCGCTTGGATATTGCTCATAATATTTGGGATAATGTTGACAGCTACAATCATAAAGCAGGCAGAGAGGAGCAGCCTTCGCCCTTGTTTAGTGCCTAATGTAGGCACAATTATAGTAAACATGCACCGGACAGGATGCACCAAAAAAAGGATGAAGAACACCAGGAAACTAAGGGCAGAAGATGCCAAGGCAGAAAACTGGAAGGAATATTGCAGAGAGGAAAACATCCAGCAGTGGAAGAGGCCTCCAACTGATGCTGCGATGCAGGAGCAGGTCACAATTAAGGATAACAGCTGGCTGTGGCTGGATGGTAACGGTGTAGAGTAAGCAAGCCAGGCATCCACTATGAATTCTTGTATCTCCGGGAACTTAATGTCCCAAATGTAGGTCCAGATTCCCAACCTGTACCAGTAATGCATAAAATAGTTCTGATTGCTAGAAATGTTTGACACACACATATACACACACACATTTCATATATATTTATATCTTTTTCTAATCAAATTTGGTTTTGTTTATCTCCTATGAGATTGGTTTATCTTTGGAGGGGAGGGTGCTGAAATATATAGAGAAACACATATATCTCTCTATAGGTAAACCCATACACACACTCAAGTTTGAATGAGAATTCTGAGAAGTTTTAAATTCAGAACACATATTTTGAACATGCAATTTTATGTCTCCAAGGGCTGACATTTTTTATGGCTTTGTGAGGCCATAATTTAGTTATTTATACATTTATACATTAGATTTACTTCCCACCTTTCATTCTGAAGCTCCAGGCAATGTGCACGGTGTTTTCTCCCCTACTTTTTCTTACAACAATTCTTTGAGGTAGGTCAGGCCAAAAGAGAGTGATGGCTGAAGATGGATTAGAACCTGGGTCTCTTTGCTCCTAGCCCAACATTTTACCCAATTAAAAAAGATATACTATTGCATTCATTGGCAACTGATGTAATGGTGATTTTAGGGTTAATTTGAAGAAGGCAGCATAAACATGTATGGCCCAGAACTGACTTTCACCAGCTGATGGGAGCAGAGCAGATAATTAAGTTGCAAATCCCTCCAAATTTTTAAATCTTTGAATGCAGCATTTCTTATCAGTTAGAGCTGAGAAGTGCCAGTACAGTGATACCTCCCCCCAGGAGGAACCAGCTGCACTCACCTGCGCTAACAAGTAGAAAGATAAGAAACCACCTAGCTCATATTTCCCTTAGCAACAACAAGCGCCCACCTTTGGGCAGTGGTGCCCACCTTTTGGGAGTGTTTTGCCCACCCAAAGGTGTGAATAATTATTGTCCGCCAATGATCATGTAGTTCTTTGTTTCAAGAATGTATAAAAGTTGTGTTGATTGACAAATAGCGTGCCTGCTCTGGAAATGATTCCCAGGCACCTTACCCTGCTCAGAATAAATACTTTATTATCTCTATCAAGGTGTGTTTATTGGGCAAAATTGTATGCCAGGCTACAACCCTCCAGAGTTCCTGGGACAACACAACCATAAACTTTTAGCAAATACCAAAACAAAATTGTTTGTAACTGGCTGCTAAAATTGGTCAAATAAGAAATACCATTGCAAGGCAATCATTCAATACTATCAGATACTATTAAATCTGTGCTTGTTTTTGAACTGGTTTGAAAAGAAGTCTTCAAGCAGTCACTCTGCACTCCTCCATAAAAAATATACATTTACAAAATATTCTTTTCAAACAATAAACTGAAACTCATTTGCACTGACTTCAGAATAATACAAGTTGTGTTAATACAACCATTCAACTCTCAACTATATTACCCAAATCTTTTTAATGCACAGTGTTCTCAAAATAAGGTTTAACAGACCTATATCTTCTTTTATGGAACATTCTTATTAGCAACGTAGTAATTTTTTTCCCTTAACACAAGAGAGGGTATTGTACTGTATAAATTAAAAACAAAAACAAAAAAAAACTACACATACCCAGTTTTATGAAGAAGTCCCCAGTTCCTTTGGAAACAGTCAGCAATCCTGAAAATATTCATCTTAATTGAAACTCACAACAAAATGGGATAGAACCTCTCCAGAAAATCTAAATTTAGATAACAAGAGATATATGTGTTATTTTTTTTAAAAATCACATTAATTGTTCATTTAAGTTGTTAATCCAGTCTGCGGTATATCCTAAAGGAGAACACATAACACCATTCCCTCCATTTGTGCTGTCACTGAATGAACATCACACCAAGAATACTGAACAAGAGACTAATAATTGTAGTTCTAAAGGATCTCTTCCAGCCTGTTTGTGTGTGCTAGTGGTAGATTGTTAAACCTATGCTTAGTATTGCAAAAGTCAATTCAGAAAAAGCAGAAGCTAGGGAGCATCTATTTTTGCACTGTACTGAAATTGGTCATTCTGAATTACTACTGAATCATGGTGGTCAACTTACTCAGCTGATCCCTTCCTACTTTAATATTTGTGAGCATATTTTGATGGCACTGTGCTCACTTAGAAATCATGTTCCCAACTTAAAACATCAGTTCATTCAGTGCATAATAACAGTGTAAAAGTGCAGAGTCAATTTTGGGATATTAGCAAGAGATCTATAATAAACACAGCAAGTGCCATAATGCACTTATTATGTAATTCCATGACTGTATTCCAGTTGCCCATATCTCAAAAACGATATCATAGAGGTTTTACAGCCGAGGATAAATAAAACAATAAGGGAGATTGATTTCTTGTGACTAGCCATGCCTACCGAGGCAACCATTTTGTTAGAATGCCATGACATGTTCTCAAATTCCAAGTCTGCTTACAGTCCCCAAATATTTGCCCCAATATGATCCAAATAATCAGCCATTTAGTAACTTTGAGCCAAACTAGACTTGATAGTGTTCCCACTGAAATGAACATGTCTGGTTAAGTCAGTGGCAGCTGAATTAAAACTGGAGGGTGAGTATTTAACTCTTTCTCTTTCTGCTCTGTTTACAACATTTCCCTCTCCAAAACCAAGCAATATAAATACCAGCTTGGAGAGATACCTTCTGACTGGACTATGATAGGAAGTAAAAGGCAATCCTGCACTTTTATGAATTTTTTAGGGCCCCCCTCAACTGCCATTCATGGTATTAATCCTACATTAGTGAATAAGAAAGAAAAAAAACTAATATTTTACAAGTTGTTGAGGCTCAGCTGTTGTCTGCTCTGCTTTGAGCTCGGCTTGAACTGGTGTTTTTCCCCTAATTATTTTCTCTACATTTAGCTGAAATGTTTATTCCATGATTATGCTAAGAGGTTGCTTTTCAGATGAATGATTCAGGAACACATGAAAGAAATAAATGCATACATAGTGCCTGAGTGGGCAGGATTTGTTATTAATATTATAATCATGTAGCTTAATGCAATAATAACACCATGTGAAACCTTTTTCCTTATGAAACTGTTGAAATAATTTACCTCAGAAACCAAATGACGAACAAGAGTAATATAACTCACTTCCTCTTCCTCTTTCAGAGAGAAGAAAACTTTTCTTTATTAGTTATTAATGGAATTTTGCTGCATTTGTGTGTGTGTGTGTGTGTGTGTTTTAAAATCTTATTACATAGCAATGTGCACATTCTGTCAGTCTGAGGGCCAAAGCAGGTTTTGCAGATATCCACTTAGGGATATTAAGGGGTAAAATGGGTGATTTAAGCTAAGGCATTCTTTTTTTTTTAAAGATTTTTTATCCTGCTGTTATTATTCTTATAACTCAAGGTGGCAAATAAACCTAATACTCGTTCCTTCTCCTATTTTCCCTACAACAACATCCCTGTGAGATGAGTTAGGCTGCAAGAGAGTGACTGACCCAAAGTCACCCGGCCGGCTTTCATGCCTAGGGCAGGACTAGAATTCACAGCCTCCTGCTTTCTAGCCTGGTGCCTTGACCACTAGATCAAACTGGCCCTTGAAATTGCTAAAAATGCAACAACAACCAAAAAAAAAGCTAACATTTTTGGCCCCATCCACTCTGAGACTTTGTAGACCACATTTTCTGCACCCCTTCCTTAAATATTTGTATTTATTCACTTAGCCTTGAGTAGAAGAGAGTTGATGGGAATATTTCTCATTTGACAGGCCATTCTTTTTAAAAGTCTCCACTTTTCACATCTGTTCAGCTATGTGCCTCTTCATACTGCCTAAAAACATCATAGCTGATCTCATCAAAAAGCCATTTTTGTGTGGGGTGTGTATGTGTGAATGTTAGGTTCTAAAAGCCTCCAAACAGCAAGAAAGAGATTTACTTTCTTCCAGAAGGAAAGAAGTATATTTTTGTTTATTTTGCAAATAGTTCAAAAAATACTTCTCACTCAATGCAGGGCCTTGGTAGTTTAAGGACCTCTTTGAGGAATCCCAGGGCCAGAGGGAAAAGAGGGCTGAGCACCTGGAAGTTCTCCCCTTTGACATGTCCCCATTCAAGCCCCATCCTCATGTACCACTTCTGCCCAGAGCTGTCCCTCTCCACCCCTGGAGAAGCCACTCTAAGCTATCTATGGCCCTCTCCCAACAGGAAGTCACTTCCTTTCCTGTGTATTTCCTGAGTACTTTTAATCTCATTTCTCTTCTAGGGCTCTTCCTTGTGGCCATGTTAACATGTTATCCTCATCCACAGGACACTGGTGAAAATAACAGGAATCCCTTTTCAGATGAAAGCAGAACAGTACTTATTAGGATTTATGGAAGAAGAACTGAGTTAAAAGCACAGTCTCTTATTATTATATATGATCACTGCAGCAAGATTATTATATTGCAGAAATGGAAAAATAAAGAAGCTCCAAATGTTGAAGATTGGATATTTACAGTTATGGGCTTGCAAAGATGGCAAAACTGACAGATCTAGTGAGAGAGAAATCTACAGAGGCTTTGACTAAAGACTGGAGTCTGTTTATGGATTGTATATTACAGAAGTAGAGAAAAATAGCTTGATGATAAAGGGTTTTATACATTAAATAAGGGGAGATAACGAAAAATTTAAATAGTGACTACAATGGTATAAAAGAATAAAAAATGGTGAATGGATCCATGAGGAAAGTGAAGGGCAGAAGTGGAATATATATATATATATAT